TATTTCTCAACTGGCTAAACAATGTGTAGGCCAGAATAACAGCTTGAGAGTGTAATGCAGCAATAAGACAATATACAACTAGTCTACTCACTAATACAGTAATAATACAGATAAAGAGTTTTCTAAGATTCTCTTGACTACCTGAGTTGTCACCATAACAGGGTGGAGGGGGCATTTTCCCATGATCTGGGGGATTCTGTTTGTCATGGATTCAGTGCTTAGTAGGGTTCCCATTTAAAACCATTTGGGCTAATGCGACTTCGCAATTGGAAAGATTTATGAATCTCAATAAAGGATGACCATATTTGTTGGCATTATGAGGACACTAAGAAAGCTACCAGGCCTGGGAGCCCATCAGTTAATCGCCCAGGTCAAACATTTGCTGCAGTCTTAAAAATTAACATTTTTAATGTCAACATTAAAAATGTTACACAGAGACCCTATACACTAACCTGAGAGCTTCCAGTTGAAGGTTCTGACTCTCCAGTTCAGACCACAGCAGCTTCACTCCTGAATCCAGTAGCTTGTTGTTACTGAGATCTAACTCTCGAAGACTTGACCAATGATCCCCTATAACTGGTGCCAATGCTTTACAGCTTCGCTCTGAGAGGTCACAATCACTCAATCTGAAAAGATAGACATCTTTAGTTGTTTTTCTTTCCTGTTGACAAGACAGTGTTTTTAGTACTCACATAGCTTTTTTGGAGGCTTTGACCACAGGCAGCAGCCTGAAAAGAGCATCCTCTGAAGCAGAGTATTTCTTCAAGTCAAATACATCCAGATCTTTCTCTGATGACAATAAGATGAAACCCAGAGCTGACCACTGAGCTGGAGACAGATTTTCTTTTAAGTGACTTCTTGAACTCAAAGACTGTTGGATCTCCTCCACTAGAGAACGATCATTCAGTTCATTCAGACAGTGGAACAAGTTGATGCTTTTCTCTCCAGAGAGATTTTCACTGATCTTATTCCTGATGTACTGGACTGATTCCAGACTGGTTTTGTTTTCAGTCGGTGAAATCAGACCTTTTAGGAGAGTGTGATTGGTCTGCAGTGAAAGACCCAGAAGGAAGCGAAGTAACAAGTCCAGATGACCATTTGGACTCTCTACTGCTTTGTCCACAGCACTCTGATGTAAATTAGCCAGTGCTGATTCTTTATCTTCTGTCAAAGATTCCTCAAGCAGATTCACTCCAGAGTTGATGAAGGTCAGATGAACATGAAGAGCAGCCAGAAACTCCTGAACACTCAGATGGACGAAGCAGAACACCTTGTCCTGGTACAGCCCTCTCTCCTCTCTAAAGATCTGTGTGAACACTCCTGAGTACACTGAGGCTGCTCTGATATCGATGCCACACTCTGTCAGGTCTGATTCATAGAAGATCAGGTTTCCTTTCTGCAGCTGATCAAAAGCCAGTTTTCCCAGAGACTTGATCATCTTCTTGCTTTTTCGACTCCAATGTGAATCTGTTTCAGCTCCTCCATCATACTTGACCTTCTTCACTTTGGTCTGAACCACCAGGAAGTGGATGTACATCTCAGTCAGGGTCTTTGGGAGTACGGCTCTTTCATTGGTTTCCAACATTTCCTCCAGAACTGTAGCAGTCATCCAGCAGAAGACGGGGATGTGACACATGATGTGGAGACTTTTTGATTTCTGGATGTGGGAGATGATCCTGCTGGCCTTCTCCTCATCATCTCTGAATCTCTTCCTGAAGTACTCCTCCTTCTGGGGGTCAGTGAACCCTCTGACCTCTGTCACCATGCCAACACACTCAGGAGGGATCTGATTGGCTGCAGCAGGTCTTGTGGTTATCCAGAGGAGAGCAGAGGGAAGCAGTTTCCCCCTGATGAGGTTTGTCAGCAGAACATCCACTGAGCTGGACTCTGTAGCATCAGTCAGGATCAGATTATCATCAAAGTCCAGAGGAAGTCGACTCTCATCCAAGCCATCAAAGATGAACAGAACCTGGAACTGTTCAAAGTTACTGATTCCTTTGGTTTCAGTAAAGAAGTGATGAATCAGTTCCACCAAGCTGAACTTTTCTTCTTTCACTACATTCAGCTCTCTGAAAGTGAATGGAAATATGAACTGGATGTTCTGGTTGGTTCTGCCCTCAGCCCAGTCCAGAGTGAACTTCTGTGTTAAGACTGTTTTCCCAATGCCAGCCACTCCCTTTGTCATCACTGTTCTGATTGGTTGATCTCTTCCAGGTGGGACTTTAAAGATGTCTTCTTGTCTGATTGTTGTTTCTGGTCTGTGTGGTTTCCTGGATGCTGTTTCAATCTGTCTGACCTCATGTTCATCATTGACCTCTCCAGTCCCTCCCTCTGTGATGTAGAGCTCTGTGTAGATCTGGTTCAGAGGGGTTGGACTTCCTGCTGTAGCGATTCCCTCAAACACAGACTGGAACTTCTTCTTCAGACCAGAAATAAGTTGATGTTGACAAACTGCAGCAGGATGTTCTAAAATAACACAAAAAGTAAAATCAGAGATGAAACAAAAGACCTTCTGAAGATGATTTAAATAAATGTGATTCCATTTCTTCAGACATCAGTAAATGTGTCATTTATCCATCTGGTCAAATCTTTGTAGAAATCCTCTTACTGCTCTGCAGATGATCAGCCAGCTCCTCCTGCTTCATCTTCCTCAGGAAGTTCAAGGCGATCTTCATCACTGCCTCTCTGCTGCTCCTCCTCTGCTCTTCATCCTCACCTCCCAACACCTCATCATCCTCTCTCTGACTCTCTGAGCATTCTGGGTAATCTGGACTCAGAACCTTGTGGATCTTCTTCAGCTCGTTCTGCACAAAAGTGACAATGTTTTCCTCCAGCAGCTGGAACAGAATAATAGATGAAGGAAACATCAGACTGAAATCATGGAGCCAAACACCAGATGGATGTTGGACAGACTGACAGTCCTCTGGTCTACAGACTGAACAGAACCGATGTACAGACCATAAATATGGAGTCCAGCTGTGTTTGATCCTGCTGGACAGACGGACCAGTGGGAACCTCTGAGCTCTGCTGGTCCACTCTGTGGAGGAACCAGGAATAACCATCATAAATGACCA